ATTAGCTTAGTATATTAAGTAAGGATTTCAACAGTTTGCTCCCACACAGAAACATAAAGTGAAAAATAATAGATTTTTTTTAAATGATGATGAAATCAGATCAACCTATTGTCATGTTTAATCCCAGTGAGAGTCAAGTTGGGAATTGATAATTTCTTTTTTTTTTTTTACAGAAGATCAGTTTAGTGTACATTAAGTAAAGATTTCAATCATTTGCACCCCCATAGAAACACAAAGTGAAATATACTGTTTGAGTACTCGTTATAGCATTAAGCCTCAGTGTACAGCACATTAAGGACAGAGATCCTACATGAGGAGTAAGTGCACAGTGACTCCTGTTGTTGACTTTACAATTGACACTCCTGTTTATGGCATCAGTAATCTCCCTATGCACCAGTCATGAGTTTCCAAGGCTATGGAAGCCCCTTGAGTTCTCCGACTCTTATCTTGTTTAGACACGGTCATAGTCAAAGTGGAGGTTCTCTCCTCCCTTCAGAGAAAGGCACCTCCCTCTTTGAAGACCTGTTCTTTCCACTGGGATCTCACTCACAGAGATCTTTTTGCCAGAGTGTCTTGGCTTTCCATGCCTGAAATACTCTCATGGGCTTTTCAGCAGATCCGAGTGCCTTTAGGGCTGATTCTGAGGCCAGAGTGCTATTTAGGACATCCGCCATTCTATGAGTCTGCTGAGTATCTCACTTCCCATGTTGGATCACTCTCCCTTTATTTATTCTATCGGTTGGTGTTAGCAGATACTAGACTTGTTTATGTGCTCCCTTTGACTCTTAGTCCTTTCATTATGATCAATTGTGAACTGAAATTGATCACTTGGAATAGTGAGATGGCATTGGCACATGCCACCTTGATGGGATTGAATTGGAATCCCCTGGTATATTTCCAACTCTACCAATTGGGGCAAGTCAGCCCGAGCATGCCCCAAATTATACATCTCTTCCCTCTTATTCCCACTCTTATGCAGAACAATCTTAAAAGAGGGAGTATCAATTTGTTAAGTCAACAACAGGAGTCACTGTGCACTTACTCCTCATGTAGGATCTTTGTCCTTAGTGTGCTGTACATTGAGATTTAATGCTATAACTAGTACTCAACAGTATTTTACACTTTATGTTTCTGTGTGGGAGCAAACTGTTGAAATCTTTACTTAATGTATGCTAAACTGATCTTCTGTATAAAGAGAATCGAAAATGATCTTGATGTGAATGGAAGGGGAGAGGGAGTGGGAAAGGGGAGGGTTGCGGTGGGAGGGACGTTAAGGGGGGAAGCCATTGTAATCCATAAGCTGTACTTTGGAAATTTATATTCATTAAATAAAAGTTAAAAAAAAAAAAAAAAAAAAAAGAGGAGTACTCCCAAATTCTTTCTATGAAGCCAGCATCAGCTTAATCCCCAACTCAGAAAAAGATGCAGCATTGAAAGAAAATTACAGGCCAATATCCCTAATGAACATAGATGCAAAAATCCTCAATAAAATTCTGGGCAATAGAATGCAACAAACACATCAGAAAAATCATCCACCAGACTAAGTGATATTTGACCTGGTAGGCAGGGATGGTTCAGTGTTCACAAATCAATGTAATACACCATGTTAACAAACTGCAGAAAATAACCATATGATTATCTCAATAGATGCAAAGAAGGATTCGATAAAATACAACACCCTTTCATAATGAGAACTCTAAGCAAACTGGGTATAGAAGGAACATTCCTCAATACAATCAAAGCAATTTATGAAAAACCCATGGCCAGCATCCTATTGAACAGGGAAAGTTGGAAGCATTTCCACTGAGATCTGGTACCAGACAGGATGCCCACTCTCACCACTGCTATTCAATATAGTACTGGAAGTTTTAGCCAGAGCCATTAGGCAAAACAAATAAATTAAAGGGATAAAACTTGGGAAGAACTCTACTAAGAGAGTATTGGAACTCATAGAAGAGTTTGGCAAAGTAGCAGAATATAAAATCAATGCAACAAATTTCAACAGCCTTTGCATACAGAGGTAATGCCACAGTCTGAGAAAGAAACTGCTATGATCAATCACATTCACAATAGCCACAAAAATAATCAAATACCTTGGAATAAACTTATTTATTCAAATATGAATATTACAGATGTTGACCAGTTAAAAATGAAAATACATAAATGAAACTTTAAAGGAGGGCCTTTATCTGAGATGGGTTTGTGTGTGTGAACATAAAACCCAGACTAAGATTTTTACACAGTATTATTTTTAAGAAGAGAGGAGGAATTGGGGCCAGTGTGGGGGTGTAGTGGATATAACCACTACCTGTAACCCTACCATCCCAAGTGGGTTGCAGGTTTCATATCCTGGCTCTTCCACTTATCAGCACTGCAGATATGTTCAGAGTCTATCACCACTGATTCAGAACAAAACGCATTAAGTGAAGTATAAATTGATCATAAGGAGGTTACATTCTGCAAGTTATTTTATAACAATCATAATGCAAAATCAGTTTTATAAATTTTAGTTTCTAACCATTGAAAACTGAGCGAGTCTTAAGAGCTACTCCTGAGAAAACATTGTTTCCTGGGCACTATTCTATCCCTTAATCGTTCAAAGCATTCTTCTCAGGTCTGAAGAGAACAATGCATCACTAGGGAACCAAGATGCAGACCAGGAGCCCTGAACCAGAGGCCAAGATGGAGAAGACCTCCATGGCCACCATGACCTTCCCCTTGGTGCTGTGGTAGACAGGCAGGAAGGTCACCCAGACACTGCAGAACACCAGCATGCTGAAACATCATGAACTTGGCTTCATTGAACGTGTCAGTCAGATTCCTCGCTAGGAAAGCCACAGTGAAGCTCAGCAGGGTTAAGATATCCAGGAAGCCCAGGACACAGTAGAAGCAGTGACTGGGCCCTTGTTGCACACCTAGGATGATGTGGCCATGCTCAGAGGTGCATCTGGTGTCAATAAAGGGAGGAGAAGTCCCCAAGCCAGATGGCACAGAGAGCCAGTGGATCAGGGAGCAGATGGGGGATAATGGAGTTAAGTACCCCTGATAGCAGCCAGTGTCTCATCCTTCTCCCTGGGGCACTCACCTTGAAGGCCAGAAGCACAGTGATAGTTTTGGCCAGGACTGTGGAAACAGCCATGGTAATGCCACTCCAAACGTGGTCTGCTGGAGGACACAGGTGGTTGTGTTGGGACAAACAATGAACAGTAAACAGAGTAAGCAGAAGATGAGAGCAATGAGCAGGATGTAGCTGAGACAGCGATTGTTGGCCTTGACTATGGGAGTGTCTCGGTGCTTCACAAAGACCCCAAGAACAACAGCGGTGAGGACAGAGAAGCACAGAGCTGTGCAGACCAGGGTCATCCCCAGGGGATCTTCAAAAGACAGAAAGGGCACTTTTTTGTGCAAGCACTGGTCTCACTCTGTGTTGGCATACTGGTGATTTGGACACTTCACTAACTTGTCCATATCAGGTGAAAGACATACACTAACATCATCCCACATTCAGTTCATTTCCTGCATTCACAAGGATCTTCTAGAATAACTGACAGAGTTGATTAGGAAACTTATCCTTTTCTCCTTTTGAAGAGATGATACAGAAATTAATTGCAATTAATTGTGCCCATCTTTCCTCATGTGAGACAGCTTCTATTACTTTCATTCCCCTATTTTATATTACATACTGTTGTGTATATTGTCTTTTTCTCCTAACGAAGCCCTAAGACCAATTGAACCTATTCATGATGCTTCAAACAATACCTTAGTCTGTGTCATTTGTAACACCATAACTTCACTGTCTATGGTTTCTTGAGTTCAGGAAGTGATGATCTAGAGGATTCCATACATGGTGAAGGCTATTCTGCCTTTGTACATGGCAGATTCTTGCTGCATCTTCTCGTTCAACACTAGATAGCAGCGTCCCTCAACCGTTACTTTAATGGTGCGATTCGCTCCCTACTCTCATGGCCTAAATGCCCAAGGCTCACATATTGTAATGAAAGATTATTGATTGATTGAGAGATTGATTTAATTCATTTGAATCACCATGTTACAGATAGAGGAAGAATGACATGGAGACAGTGGGAACTCTTCCATCTTCTGGTTCACACCATACATGGCCACAACAGCCAGAGATGAGCCAATATATAGCCAGGGGTCAGGGGTTTCTTCCCAATCTCCCAAGTGGGTAAAGGGGCTCAAGCTCTTGGCCTGTTCCACTGGTTTTCCAGGCCATCAGCAGAGAGGTGGAACAGAAGAGGATCAGGGGTCAGAGCAGTGGCACAGTAGATTAACCCACTCTCTATGGCATCGGTATCAAATATAGGTGCTGGTTCCAGTATTAGCTGTTCTGCTTCCATTCCAGCTCTCTGCTATGGTCTGGGAAGCAGTGAAAGATGGCCCAAGCACTTGTGTCCTTGCATCTGCCTGAGAGACCCAGAAGATGCTCCTGGCTTCAGATTTGCAGAACTCCAGCCATTGCGGCCATCTGGGGAATAAACAGCATATGGAGACTCCTCTCTCTGTTTCTCTGCCCCCTGTAACTCTGTTTTTCAAATGAATTAAAGAATAATTTTTAAAAATAATATGCACAGAGCAAGAGCCCCTGAGGGCCTCTAGTACAAGTTGTAGTGTACAGCATTCTTGCTTCAACTTGGTTTCCAACCTTTCACAATTTCCACATTCTTAAGCAATCTTAATATACCCTTTAGGGCACAAAAGCATTCTTTTTGCAATTTATGGGTGTTTTAGTTCTTTGTTACAAATCACAGATCTCTGTTCATTTTATTAAATGTTTTTCTGCAGTTTATGCTAATTACTATCACTAGTAATTCATGTACCTGAGAAGATCACCTGAATGAATGTGAGTTTTCTCTCTCCCCTTCTACCTAATTTCATCTGTGGTAATTTTTAGAATACAGGAGTGTCCCATATGAGCAGAAATTCTTGTTCTTGAGAGTACTCCTGCAGTAGAGGTATCACTCTCCTTCAGCTGTAATTGTGGGATGTCTTTGTCCAGTTCTGAAAGCCAGATGAGGGGACTCTTCCTGTCCTTATCTCACTGTGCACGACACGACAGAGGTAAAATCCCAGAGCCACACTGGGCAAAAGAGAGGGGCTCCAACTGATGTCCTCAAATTCAGAGTCTGAAAGGAGAATCATGAAAATGCAGAACATTGGAGTGTCATAATCACTCACTGGGGAACCTCAAAGCACTGTAGATCAAAGGCACTGCACCTAGTGAAGCTGAATGGATGCAATCTATTTTATATGGAAATCTGAAAAAGTATTTCAAATAAATAATTACTATTGGTAGCAGTTCTAACTCCAAATAGGTCATATTCTCTGAATATTTTCTCCAGACCTGCATGCAACTAGTCTTGCAGGCCAAGGAAAAATATTCATGCATTTCTACAGGCACTGACACAGAACTTCCTCAAGGTTAGACTACAGGTACCCCTTGTATTTCAAGTGTCCTGCATATTTGGTCATGATGAACTGTCTATTACATGTTGATGGCTTGTTCACTCTCGATTTGTGCCTGACAGGAAGAGGCATCTTTGAATTCTGGGGCACAGGATTTTATATGTTTCCAACATATCAAATTATAAACTGGCTTTTCAAGTATCTTTTATTATCTATGTTGCTTTCTGCGTGGAATAAGTTGAAAATTCTCCTTGCATGATTTTTTCACTTGTGAAGTACCTGTGTTCTTATCACAGTCTTTTTTGGTTTCTCATGGTCATGGGATGATCTCATTTGAGGTTTTCATTTTCTTCTCCATGACTCAGCATTTATCTGGGATTCCAACATTAAATTGCCCTAGTTTGATGGTGACCTACACACAAATCTCTCCTATTACGATGGCTCTTGGGCTATGACTGTTGTTGCTTCAGGCAAAAATTCCAGGGTTTTCTGCTCAAACACATTTTGCAAAGTAATCCAAATGATACTTTTTAAAAGACATTGATGTTTTGTGGTAGAAACTCTTATGTGTGTTTTTTTTTTTTTGAAGATTGAAAAAGTACTTCAAATCAAAGAACTTAAATTTTTAGTAAATTAAGAATGCAAATCCAAAACACAAGGAAGCAGAATAGGGCAGAGGCTCCTACTCAATACATGTGGAGCTGAATGCCATGGCCACCCCCAGGTCTACTAGATAAGACATTCCAGAGTGCATCCCAACAGTCTTCCTGTATCTGTAAGATATCAGTGTGATTCTGAGTGTTGAAGAACAAGGAAAACAAACAAATTAACTCCCTCTTCAAATGCTGGAGTCTCAGTGAGGTAAGACTTCCTATTCCAGAATAAAAATATTCCACAATATACTGTGCAACTTAAGATGTAAATTTCCAGCCCAAGGGAGACAAGGTACATTAGATTTATTTTACACTGCAGGATTACTAGGTTTCACCAAAATGGTGGGAAGAAGCTGGAAGGATTCTCCCTACTCACGATTCCCCAGGGGAACATTCCACTCACCCATCCCCACTCCTCTCCAGGTCTCACAACTTGGGATAGAACCTGGTAGGGCCTGTTGAGCTGCAGAGCAGTGAGGAGTTGACATGGGGCAGTGGCACGAACACACTTGGCTCCTCTGCAGCTCAGCCCTTGGGAGCAGCACACATAAAGCCCCATAGCCTCATATTCTGCACCAAAGAAGCAAGGCAGGTTGGGGCTTCTTCTCACTCTTCATGCACATGACCCATATTCCTGTACAGGACATGGTTCCTGCCTCTGTCCTCTCATGGGAAACCTGTGCTCGCAGTGCTGAGGCTCCTGACTTGGTGTGAAGATCAATGTGGGGGCACTCATTATGGCTGATGTGTAGGTCTCTGTGAACCTCAGAAGTCATTATGGAGGAGCTGACCTGAGAGGTTCCACAATAAGGAGCCCTTGGACCCATCCTCAACCCCCTTAGGTGCATTCACTGCAGTCTTGCAGGCATGTGCAAATCCACCCTTTGCCTCAGGCACCCTCTAATGCCTGAGGGCAGTATTGACCATGACTGAAAGGAAGAAAGACCTGGGCTTAAGAGCAGTAGACAGCTCCAAGTCAAGAGTGGGTGAACTGAAACATTCAAGAATAATGGAAGGGATCTCCATGGGAGCACAAGGTGGCCCTGCAGAAATAAAATTCAATGCCAATATGTTTCTAGCTAATCAAATAAACAAGCCTATCAATACATAAGTAGATAAAACTCTCCATTTTCCTGTTTATCTATTTGTGAACTTAATTCAGTCACATATCCTCTCATTTTAACACAAGCACTTGTACAACTGCCTCAAAGGAAGCAACTGGCCCCAGCTTTCAAATGTTTCATCCTCTCACTCACTCACCTGTACAGTACAAGCATATTTCAGGATGCCCTTACATCAGGAGGAATACTGTTGAACACATTCACTGTATGGAACAACCTCCTAATTCTTTGTGTCCTGGAGCCATGGCCCGGATCTTACCTGTTTCAGAGAATGTCTTCCCAGTGTCTGCTTACATGAGCTCACATGAAATTTCCAAAATTCACTGGAACCCTATGCCACCACTCACACTTTCCTTTATACAATCTTGACCACCAATATCTTACTTCTCAGTTCTGTTTGAATGCTTCATCTTATGTATGAACTGCAGCTTTCCAATCTCTGTGTCACAATGTAACACCTTTTTATCACCTCAGAATGCTTTTCCTTCATACCATACAGGTGGATAGGTGCTTCATTGGTAGCATTCACCTTCATCATTCCTTTCCTATAAAAGATGTGAGAAAGAGTCAGAAATTTCTCCATGTTGAAAACCTTCCAAAACCTATTTGCCTATTGTCAACATGCATGCATGTAGCACACACACAATGTAGATTTTTTTCAATCTGTCACATTAAAAGCCATGTTCTATGTCATCATGAAGCCAGACACACAGGTAATAAAAGGAAAATAAGCTAATGGGATTACATGAAACTAAGGAGCTTTTGAACAGCAAAGGAAACAACATGAAGAAACAACTGATAGAAGGGAGAAAATCTGCAAACTAGTCAGCTAATAAAGGATTAGTATGTAGGAGTAATAAGGACCCCATGAAACTCAGTATACACAAAACAAGAATCCAGTGAAGAAATGGGTAAAGGACATAAATAGGCATTTTTCAAAGGATGAATTACAAAAGGCAAATAGATGACATCAGCATTGTAGTGTAGCACGTTAAACCTCTGCCTGTGATGCTAGCATCCCACATGCACACAGGTTGGAGACTTAGCTGCTTCACTTCTGATCCAGCTCTCCACTAATGTACCTGGGAAAGCAATAGATCACCCAAGTCCTTGGTCCCCTGCACCCACGTGTGAGATCCAGAAGAAGCTCTAAACTTCTTAGCTTGAGCTAGGAAGTTTATGAACAGCAAAGGAAACACTCGACAAAGAGAAAAGGAATCAGGCTGAATGGTGAAAATATTTACAAACTATCCTCCTGATAACCATTAAGACATGAAACATATAAGGTTCAAGAAACTGAACCAGGCCAGCACCGCAGCTCAATAGCTAATCTTCCACCTAGCAGCACTGGCCCACTGGGTTCTAGTCCAAGTCGGGGCACCGGATTTTTTCCCAGTTGCCCCTCTTCCAGGCCAGCTCTCTGCTGTGGCCCAGGAAGGCAGTGGAGGATGGCCCAAGAGCTTCGGCCCTGCATCCCATGGGAGACCAGGAGAAGCACCTGGCTCCTGCCTTCAGATTAGCACAGTGTGCCGGCCACAGCACGCCAGACGTGCCAGCCATTGGAGGGTGAACCAACGGCAAAAGGAAGACCTTTCTCTCTGTCTCTCTCTCTCACTGTGCACTGTGCCTGTCAAAAAATAAAAAAAAAAAAAGGAAAGGAAAGAAAAAAAAAAGAATCTGAACCACAACAAACAAATAACCCAGTGAATAAATGGGCAAAGGAAATAAAAAAAGCATTTTTCAAAGGATGAAATACAACAACACATGGCAAATGCTCAGGGTCCCTGACCATCATGGAAATGCAATAAAATTTCATGTGAGCTCATGGAAGCAAATATTGTGAAGCTGTCCTCAAATCAGGTTTAAGGAGGCATCCCATGGCTGTACGCAATGAAACAAGCAGTTTCTTATCACCTAAGTTAGAATGGCTATTCTACCCTGATATCTCACCCATCAGTCTTGTCTTTTGGGACTATAATGTAGCATTCTGTGTGACATAAGCCTGGTGTCATGTTAGCCTCTATGCTGTAGAGTTGCCCACCTTGGATCACACCACAGAATACCTTTCCCTTATATCACACAGGTGGGACCTGCTTTATTGCTGATATTCACATGCATCAATATGGGCTATAAATGATTTGCACAAGTTACCTTATCTTCAAGTTAGGTACCCATATCCCAAAACCCCTCTGCTTACTGTCAACATGAGTGCACATACATGCATGCACGCACAAATCGCGCGCGCCACACACACACACACATACCCAACACCACAATCTACTGTTTCCCTTCTGTCAAAACATTGATATCCATTTTATAATGATCTTATTATGCAACAATATAGAGAGCATGATCTTTTCCTGTTCATTCTCAGTAACTTGGAGTTTTTCACACCCATTCATCTCACTCTGCATTACCCCTGAAATCTTCAATTTCCTTTCTGTTTCTGTGTAGTGGATCCCTCTTCATCTGTCATAAAATCCATTAATTAGTGGTATTCAATGTCCCACCCTCAAAAAATGCCATTGATATATTTCAGTACTGATATATTTCATCTGTGCAAACATTCCAAATGATTTTTCCAATATGATTTTGGAACAATCCACATAGAACAGTCCTTTGGCTCTCCATCACTCAGTGTGATTTTCACAAGCATTCAATATCAATGACTCTATTTCTTTTTTGTGTGTTTCTGGGACATTCCATGTTTTTTATTTTGGTGACCTTAGTGGATCCACATACTGTATTTAAAACAGGCATTTTAAAGGAAACAGCACTAGGACTGCTAGGTAGCAAGGAACAAACTAGCTTAAAAGCCCTCAAACACTGACCCTAAGCCTGTGCTTCTTCCTTATTATGTACTTGGTAATGCTTTTTCTCACTCGGTTTGCAGTGGACATGTTTGATTCCATGTGCCTTTCCATTTGGGAGGAGCACTGTTGACACATTATTTGTCTGGAACAACTATTTCAAAATTCCTTTCTTTGTGTCCAGCCCTGTGGTGTGACATTCTTTCTGCCTTTCTTCCCAAGAACACCTATGCATGTTTTTATGCTCATGTGTAGTTTTCAGAGGGCCAGGTTCACATCTGGCTTATCCTCTTCTGATGCAGACCCCTGACCCCTGTAACATACCTTGAATACTCCATGGAGTTCCAGGCTTCTGGCTTCAGCCTGGCTCAGTCCTAGTTGTCTTTTGGGGGAGAAATTGGCATCTGGAACTCTCTCTCTGTCTCTTTCTCTGCCTCACTGTCAGTTGATGTTTCAAGGAAATGTAAACAAATAGGCATTTAAAAAACCCACTCTGTCCTCTGTTGTCCCTAGTGGCATATATTTTCTGCACTGTTTTACTGAAATACCTCCGTCATGACCTTACTGTGTGACTGAGTGTCCCATTCCATCCCCTGTCCCATTCCAGCTCTGAACTACCTGGCCCAGTGCCTCAGATTTGACTGCCATTGGGCCACTTCCGGATACCACCAGATCAGGGCTTGGTTGTGTGGCAGAAGCAGGAAGCAGTCACCTGCTGACTGGGCCTCATGTAAGCCAGTCTGCTGAAAAAGATTTTGGAGGAAGTCAACATCTCACACTTTGAAACGATGCCCAGAAGATAACCCTCTGCTTATCTCACACACAAAATCATATGACTACATGTTATTTGTTTATATTCCTGCAGGGCTTGGCCATTGGTTGCTATTCAGCTCTGTCATGTGGAGAATCATTTTATGACAAGTGAATGGAGTTATAAGCCTGCTGGGGCCCATTTGAGGACATGGAGAGCTATCGTGTGAACACCACCATTGCAACCCAGCAGACTACTAATTATTCACAAATGATGGCATCCCGAGAGAGATGCCAGATGGCCTTCCTTTCCTCAATACTGGATACAACATATTATATTGGTACAAGTTATTCCTGGGGAGACTCTTGCTATCAACCCTAAAGATGGGAACATTCAGAATATTCAACAGCTGCCTATGTACCTCTGATGTCACCAAGTGGTACTCTGCCACCTATATACCTTCCTTCTGGTTATATGCTCAGGTGGTGAAAGACAATGGGATTCGTAAAATTCACATTGTGCCTCAGACATGTCATGTTTCCATACCACTTTGATGCAAGTACCACAGTTCATACTATCATTCTCTCCTATGTATCCACAGCCCTGACTGATGCATTCCTCAATCAAGGAAAATTTCCCCCACCTTATGTCCCCACCCAAAGCAGCTGAGGCCATCACCACCAGCAACATTTATGTACCAAGAAATAATGGTAGGATATGAAGTTCCTAAATAGCACATACTTTTAGTTTATTAAATTACACATTTGGATAATTATAAATGTCAAAGTAGGAAAACAATAACATTTCAAGGAATTTGGGGATTTCATGCAGCCATGTCAGGACTGATGATAATCCTTGGGTCTAAGGTTTCTGTTTTGTGCAAATACAGTGTATATATATATATACCCTCATCAATAATTGATACATAGGAATAGTCAGACTACATCTACAAAATGTATCATGCCGCTGCTACAAAGCCAAAGTGATGATTTGATGTGAAGTGGAATTAAATTGTCATAGCAGGCAAACCATAAGAAAGTGGACACAGTAATCACATGAAGGCTGTGAAATCCTGTGGCTCTAAAAATGTTGATCCATACTCCATCTGAAATAGTAAATGATGCTTCATAGCATTTGGATGCTTGGAGAGGGTAAAATAAATGCCTAGAAGGATAGTGATAGCCAAGGCGTGTTGCATGTTTTCACGATTTCCTTCTATTAAGCTGTGGCAAGCCCAAGTAATTGAAATTCCTGAGGCCAGGAGACTGAGGTGTTAAGTAGGGGTACTTCAAGGGGGTTCAGGTGGTTAATGCCTGTTGGAGGTCAGCAGCCTCCTAGTTCTGGGGTAGGGGCTAAGCTCGGTGGTAGAAGGCTCAGAAGAGCCTGCAAAGAAAAAGACTTCTGAGACAATGAATAGGATCATTCCATATTGTGGGCCTTTTTGTACAATGGGAGTATGATGGCCTTGGAATGTGCCTTCTCGTGAATGTCTCATCATCATTGATATATAGTAAGTGTATTTGTTAATAGAGCAATCAGAGAAGTGTAAGGGAATTAAGTGAACCATATGGTAAGCCTGATGTTGAGAAGGGTGGATATGTCTCTGGTAAGTGGTCATAAGCTTGGGTAACTATATGATAAGCTGTGGGTTTGGTGTGTCTTAGGTATTATCGTGTAGATATAGCTTACAGAATTGTGAAGACGTAGGCTTGGATCAAGGCTACAGCAAATTCTAGGATTGTGAGGAGGATAATGATAAAGGTGATTTCAGCTTCTGTAGGACTAATTGAGTTAGGGCAAGTGCTGTGCCTCCAATGAGATGTATAAGTAGGTGACCTGCTGTGATGTTAGCTGTAAGTTGTATGACTAGAACTATTGGTTGAATAAAGACACTAACTGTTTCAATAATAACTATATGGCATAAGGGGTTGGGTACCCTGTGGGAGGAATGAGCTAGTGATGCTTTGGTCTTGTAGTGGAATCCTGTGATTACAGCCCCTGCCCATAGTGGGATAGCCATCCCTAAGTTTATTGACAGCTAGGTCGTTGGTGTAAATGAGTGGGGTAGTAGCCTGGAGATTGGTTAGCTAATAAATATAATTAGAGAAATTAATATTAGGGACCAAGTCTGTCCTTTAGGGGAATGCATTGTTATTATTTGCTTCAGAATTAGTTGGCTAATCCCTGTTGAACTGAAACTAACCAATTATTGATTAGTGAGTAGGGCAGGAAATATAGGGTTGGAATATAATAATTAGCACTACGATTGAACTCATATTATTGTAGGGGTAATGGGAGAGGAAAAAATTTTCATTCATTTTGTTTTCATGGGGAGGGGAAAGAAGTGGACTAAATGCCTTTAGCACAGGGTTCATAGGGTAGGTGTACTTATGAAACTTAAGTTGGATTAGGGCAATAGTGAGAGAATTATAGCAATAGTAGTGATTAGTATGTGGATGTATCAAGTTGTGGCATTTCATTATATACATTCGCTAGCTTAAAAAGCTAGTGCTAATTTAGCTTCATAATGAGTTTAAATCATAGATAGTGATCTTTTTCAAAGTGTTTTAATGGAACTATTTCAGAACAATAGGCATGAAGCTGTGATTTGAGCCACAGATCTCTGAGCATTGGCCATAGAAAGTCCTGACGGTTGAGATAAGGGTGGCTTGGTTAAGGCATCCAGGGATAGCATCTGTTTTTAGTCCTAGTGAGGGGATGGCTCATGAATGAAGCACATCTTCTGATGATGAGATTAATATATGGATTGGTATTCCATTGGAACAACTCGTTGTCAACTTCCAGTAGTCATAAGTCACCTGGGTTTAAATTGGATGTTGGGATTATATATGAGTCAAATTCAGGTCTTCATAGTCTGTGTACTCATAACTTCAATATCACTGGTGGCCTATGGTTTTTAACGTCAGGGAGGGTTATTGATTTCATCTATTATACCAAGATTTGTAGGGAGGGAAGTGCAATTCAATTAGAATAATAGCTGGAATAGTTCAGATGGTTTCTACCTCTTGGGCATCTATTGTGCTTGTGTGGGTAGTTTTGTAGTCAGTATTAGTGAAATAAATAGAGGGCCAAGGAGTTTTGAAAAATGATCATAAGCCTGTGGTCATGGAAGTGGAGTAATTCTTCTATATAGGAGATGAGGCATTTTGGAAGCCTAGTTGAAATGGATACGCCATAAAGATATATATGGGTTGAACCTATAAATTAACTTCAATAATGTTATGTAATAGTTTTACTAATATCTTATTGAGAAAGTCAATGGTTATGCAGCTGGCAGAAACCATCTTAGGGGTTCGTTCCTTCCTTTCTTGGCCTAGGCTTTTACGTAAGCAGTCTCTTCGAATGTATAATATGGGGTGGACATCTGTGAAGTCACTCTAGATTTGTAGTGGTTAACTCAATTGTTTCTACCTCTCGCTTTGAGGGAAAGGCATCCCAGATTATGAAATTATTACTATTCAGCAGTGAGGGAGATGAAGGCCCATTGATGAAACATGTTTCACATTGTATAGGCATCTGGGTAATATGAATATCGTCAGGGCATGCCAGAGAGTCCAAGGAAGTGTTGAGGGAAAACGTTAAGTTCACTTCTACAAATATTACAGTGAGGTGGATTTTGGCCCAAGCAGTGTCCAGAGTGTAGCCTGAGAACAGAGGGAATCAATAGTGAACCCCCCCTATAATGGCAAATACAGCTCCCGTGGATAGACATGGTGGAAGTGGGCTACCACGTAGTACGTGTCTTGGAGAACAATATCTAGGGAAGAGTTGGCTAGTACAATTCCTGTAAGACCACCTACTGTAAATAAGAAAATAAATCCCAGAGCTCAAAATATGGCTGGGGATCACTTAATATTTCCACCATGTAGGGTTGCTAATCAAATAAATACCTTTACTCCCATAGGAATGGCAATAATTATAGTAGCTGATGTGAAATAGGCTTGTGTATCCACGTCCATTCCTACTGTGAATATGTGGTGAGCTCAGACAATAAACCCAAGGAAACCAATTGATATCATAGCCCACACTATTCCCAGGTAGACAAATGGTTCTTTTATGCCAGAATAATATGTTACAATATGAGAAATTATTCCAAATCCTGGAAGGATAAGAATATATACTTCAGGGTGTCTGAAGAATCAAAATAAGTGTTGATAGAGGATAGGGTCTCCTCCTCCTGCAGGGTCAAAAAACGTTGTGTTTAATTTTGGTCCATTAAGAGTATTGTAAGGCCAGCGGCTAAAACTGGCAGGGAGAAGAAGAACGGCTCTTATGAGAACAGATCATATGAATAAGGGGGTTTGATACTGAGATATAGCAGGGGTTTTATATTGATGATAGTTGTAATAGAATTAATGGCCCCTAGAATAGAGGACACCCCAGCCAAGTGAAGAAGAAAATAGTTAGATCAACCAAGGCTCCTGCACGGGCTAAGTTACCCACTAGTGGTGGGTAAACAGTTCAGCCTGTACCTGCACCGGCTTCTACTATTGATGAAGCTAACAGAAGAAAGGATGGTGGGGGAGTCAAAAGCTTATATTGTTTATACGGGGGAAAGCTATATCGAGGGCCCCAGTTATTAGTGGGACTAACCTGTTTCCGAAATAGGTATCACTATGACGAAAATTATTACAAAGGCATGTGCAGTGATGATTACATGATAAATTTGGTCGTCTCTAAGTAAAGTTCCTGGTTGGCCTAATTCTGCTCGAATTAACAGATTAAAGGCTGTTCTTACCATTCCAGCTCAGGCTCCAAATAGGAGATAGAGAGTTCTGATGTCTTTATGGTTGGTAGAGAATAATCATCAGTTAATAAACAGAAGCATTGGTAAAATGGCTGAGTAAGCATTAGACTGTAAATCTAAAGACAGAGGTTGAGCCCTCTTTACCAAGCCCTGAGGTGAAATTTTCATGTTGAATTGCAAATTCAAAGAAGTAGCTTCAATTCTGCCAGGGCT